GTGGTTTTAGAATCATGGGTGATTCTAATTTAAAACATCACATCCGGGTTCAAACCTTGAATCAAAACCATCCAAACTAAACATTGATTCTGGGTGAGTGAAATCAGAACTACTTTTTACTTTTTGTAAACAGACACTGAAAATGTCATGCGTGCAAGTTAACATGTCTTTTTCAAAGTATGCAAACTAAATACGTGATTATGTATTCCTCAACCACTGGACGTTTCTTATATGCATGTATGGTGTGAAAGACCACGAGAGTAATTGAAACATTAAGATTTTGTTTGGTATGAGGGTTTAAACTAGAGTGATTTTACTTTTAATTTCGGAACTAGAATCATGATTCATTATTTTAGGTCAAAATCATGGTTTTGAAACCAGAACCAGAATCATGAATTTGAACCACCCAAAATCAAGGGGAGAGGTGGTTTTAGAATCATGGGTGATTCTGGTTTAAAACATCATATCAGGGTTCAAACCTTGAAGCAAAACCATCCAAACCAAACACTGATTCTGGGTGAGTGAAATCAGAACTACTTTTTATAAAACTGAAAATGTCATGCGTGCAAGTTAACCTGTCTTTTTCAAAGAATGCAAATTAAATACGTGATTATGTATTCCTTAACCACTGGACGTTTTTTATATGCATGTATGGTGTGAAAAACGACGAGGGTGATTGAAACATTAATTTGTGGGAATATTTGTATGGATGGTGTGGAACGTCCACATGAATGATTGAAATTAACATTTGTAGCTGGTACCTTTATACCGGGTTAGAACCCAAGCGTCTCATGTGGGGCCAATTGTTTATTAGAAAGTAGGTCTCACTAGGCCGAATCCAACGGACTTTTTGAACGAAATGCTATGCTAACAAATATTTTAGCAAGTTCGTAGCTTTTTAGCTGTCAATTGTTTTTTAACAGTTGACATGCATATTAATGCCTAATTAGCATGTTAACTAAGCAAAAGAAATACATAACTGAATTAAATGTGTCTTAATTTACTCATGAAAAATGTTGTTCGTAACTCTCTCTATACTTGAAGACGCCAATAACAAACTTGATGCCACTTTGTTGAATATATGACATGTCCAAATCATTACATATACATATACATATATGAATATATTCATATATATATTCATACATTATAGAGTTTTTTTACATTTAAATGCTAAATTTGTAATTAGCACATTAATTATAACATTACATTAGAGATGTTCTTAGGCTTGTCGAAGTAACTAATAAGGAAAGTACAGCGGACTCTAATGTTGCAATCAAAGGCGAACAATGAACTCATAGGCAACAAACAAGACGAGTGATTTCGAAGGATAAGCCTAAACTTTTCCTTCGTAAAACCATAAATGCAATAGGTCTCACTAAAAACCTTATTAGCAAAATCCAAAGGAAATTTTAACAAGGAAAAAAGAGTATCTATCCTTTCATGATCATAGACCGCCAAAAAATTTGAGTTTGAGAAATACCGCTGCTTACTAATTATCAATAAGTTTAAATATAACAGTTAGGCTACTGCACACAAAACACAAACTACTGGGACCCATCATGAGACACATGTGGGTCCACTAGTTTGTGTCTAGTGTGACAACAACCCAATGAGGCTGAATAAAAGTCCTCGTTGAAATATATATAAGTTATATAAGTAGTCAAGGGAAAAAGAATGATAATTTTTCAAGTGTGTATAGCTTAGTTGATTTGGTAAGAGAATTATGTGTTGATCAACCAGGCTCCCTATGTGCGCGTGAGCCATATATAAAAGCCGAAAATAGTAGAAAATAAGTCAATATGAAAAGCTTAAGAAAGTATATAGGCCAATTTTTAGTTATAGAAATTAATAGGTCATAACTTGTTAAGTTATGGTTCATAACCAGATAAGTTATAGACAAACTTGTTAAGTTATGGTTCATAACCAGACAAGTTATGGATAAAAACCGTGAATTATGGACAATAACTTGTCAAATTGTAGTTCATAACCAGACAAGTTATAGACGAAAACAGTAATTTAGCCTATTTATTAACTTATGTAAACTATTAACCTATTCATTTTAATTCATCTCAAGTCTTGGCCTATTTCCCTCTTTCTCCCTATAAAAGCATCAACAACAATACAAATTTTATTAGGCCCGCCCCTATCATACAACCCTTATCGTCAATATATAACTCTCCAAGCTACGTTGATAAGTTAACAATTACTATATACAAGCTATTAATGGTGTTAGTTATCTCCTTTCTCAGTTTATTTAAATAAATAAATAAAAAAAAATCTATTAATGGTGTTATATATGTTTGTAACTATATTTTATCTTGTAGTGTAAAAGTTTCATTGTTTGAAAGTAAATATTTAAAATTTGGTCGCTAAAAATCTCGTCGTTAAAAAACAAAATTATTTCAGAGAGCCTAACAGATATATGTAATTAAGTTCTTCCTCTATGTTTTGTCCATATTAGAAACGGTGGAGATTAGATCAGCCGGGACAAGATGATAGCCATTTAATTGAGTGATTCTGAAAGTTATGTACATGCAATTAGTACGAAACAAAACTCTGCTTTCACTTTTTACTAAAAAGGTTTGAGACTTTTGACCCCCTTTTGTGTTTACTTGCTGAGGAATCCAAAACCACCAATAATGGTGCCCCTCTCTCTGCATGATCAGAATTCAGAGGCCGCTCTTATTTGTTTCTCTCTGGTTTGAAACGATTAGCAGCTCTTTGGTCAGACAAGCAAACAAAAATAATCAAAGTGTGAAAAAGCAGAAGTGGGCACTCTGAGATGTATGATTATATTCTCGGATGCTTGTTGGCTGGACTGTACGAATCCACGTAGTTCACCATGTGTCCCACTATAACATGTGCCTTCAATGTTGGATTTCTTTGACCCATCATGCATTTTGTGAATAATATGTCATGATGCCAATTATGAACACATACAAGATATATATAGGGATTTACTACACCCCAATACATCATATGTGATCCTCATGTTTGAATGATGTTCTTACGTCACAAACGATGCGAATGACGTCTATGAGTTTTTCCTCTTCTATCTAAATTAAGAATAATATATAGATACAACTCACTTTATAATTTTCCTGTGTTTGTACAAATCTAATTATTCTAGAGCATGTCATGAGTGAAAAGATATTAGATCACCATAAGAATGAACCCACATTAGTTACCAGGCACCATGCAAAATAAATAGATGTTTGAATTATGCTATATTTATGGAAGTTTCGAACTCTCAACCTATAGTTTTACCATTTTTTTTTTAATTTAGAAAACCTGTATACTTAGTACTTTATAACACCAAATACAATATATGGATTGCTGATAAGTACTGCACAGTATATACACATAATAAAACTACAAAAATGTTAGAAAAAAAGAGTATAGCTAAAGTATACTATTACTTCAACATTTTGTCTTAAGATTTTGGTAGAATAAGTTTTTAATAATAATATTACTTCTTGGTACCAGTTCGTATATATTGCTAACTTACCTACATCCTCAAGGATAGGGTCTTTAGAGTGCGCCAGCTTAGTTAGGATATTTTAAAGATGCTCGATTCAAGTTGTCTCTTCTCATTGGTTTTTTTTTTTTTTTTTTTTTTTTTTTTTTTTTTTTTTTTTCTAAAAAAAGACATATGATATTTACTTTTAATAAAAATTTAATAGTGACGGTAAATTAATTTAAACTATTATTTTATTTTTATTTATTTTATAGATATAATAATAATTTCAGAGAATATTTCTAGAACTAGGATTATAGGGTCCTTTTACAAGGGAGAGCTACAAATAAGAGTACATTCAACATATTGGGATTAGCTATGCCCTCTTTATATTTAGCACCAAACAGTATTAAGACACTTTTTTATCTTAATCCAGGTCCACTGAACAAAGCAAAGAGAGCAAATATATATATATATATACATATATATATATATATAGTAGTTCAAGTAAATTAAACAATCTAACAGCCAAAAAAAAAACAGAGAGAGTAAATTATACCATCTTTACTATTCTTTAATCTTATGGCCTAACTTCTAGAGGACAAAACTTAATAAATTGATAAGAAACATATACAAATTCTGAACTGTAAAACCTGTCATTTAGTTCCAAAGAGAGAGATGTTATAGCCCCAAGACTACCCTTTTTTTTTATTTCAATTAAAAAATTATCAAAAAACAAAAAACTGGTCCAATAAAGACCGTTCTTGATTCCAAGGAGAATGTTTTTTTTAAAAAAAAAAATTCTGAAGCCTTTAGCTTTTGGGTTTTCTCCCCAATGCTGCAATTGGCAGCACACCGTTTAGTTCTCGTGCTTTACAAACATTGTCCTTTTTATATCAATCACCATCTCATCTAACTATAAATTTCACCACCATTAAAGAATCAGATCTGAGCTAAAATCGAAGTAGTATTCCACATTTACCCAAAAGAACAAAAAAAAAGAAAAAAACAACGAAAAATCCAGTTATTTCAAGTCTCACGCTTTCTTCAAAATCACACATAAACTCAGTAAAACATACTCGTGATGATGACTAAGAATTTGCCATTTTTAAGGCTTTAGGAACTCAAAGAAGCATTGCTTTTACAGAACCCCAGTCTCCACATAATTAGTACACCCTTTCTTCTTCTTCCTCATCAGTTCCGATTCTTATACTCCTCTACTTTTTGCTCCTTATAACATGCAATATAGTTATAAATTTGCATGCAAAAGGATTCTAATAAATCTAAACCCTAGTTATGTAAACTAGACAAGAAATCCTCAAACACATAATAACCTTTTCTTTTCCCTTGTCCTTTTTCTTTTTCTTTTCTCTTTACATGGGAACTAAAAACAAACCCCTCACACAGTTCAAAACATCTTATAAGTTACGAAAAATACTAAATATATATAAATATATATATATATATATATATATAACCAATGATAATCATCACCACCCGTTTTCTCAACCAATAAAAAGTTATGTAAAAACTAGTGGCGATGATCACCAATACTATTTTGGTGATGAGGCATAATATTGCTTAAAAATGTAAATCTCACTTAAACTTCTTAATTAGATGACCATTTTTCGGTCCAAACCGCGACGCCTTTTCGATCGTTCGGAAGAATTCGATCGCTCAAGCAAAGACTTCAAAGCGTTCTGCAAAAAATGGACAGACTCAATGCTGTGTTCCTTATCCGCGGCCACTATTAACACGTTCCGGATTCTTCCTCCGAGAGTGGCCATTTCAACTTTCAGTGTCGTCAAATGGAGGGATTTGAGGATCTCGATTAGGTCGGGAATGAGATCGGAGCGGTCCTCGCAGCACAATGAGGCCTTAAAAATAAGTCTTCCATCGCCGGAATAATCACCAGAGGAAAGTACGGTGATCTCATCGGTTTCGGACGGTAAGCTTTGGAGCTCCGCGACCTCCGAGGTCTGTTCTTTGAGCTCTTTTACTCGCTGAACCACTTTTGCAAGAAGCGAGGCCTTGTCTGTCTGAAAATTTTGGGTACAAAAAGAAGAAGAGAAGAATTAAAGATATATTAAAACATTGGAAAAAGCATAAAAACTTTCCTAAACACACTAATTATAACCCTAGAGACTAGAAAGCGTACAGAATCATAAAGCTTTATCTTTTGTAGATATTGTAGTACCAAGAGTTTGAATATTCAAAGGCTTCTAAAGGGCTGTCTTTGGATTGATCCAATATTATCTGAATCTTAATTTGTGAAAAGAAGTTCATCAGAAGATATACTGCTTCTGAAAAAGCAAGTGATAACGATTGAGCTAATAAGGGAACTATGAATCTTTTAATTGCTTAGTTTAGGTATCTTTAATTCATGAAAATCCAGACATAATTTTCCTAGGTTTATGTGAAGTAGCTAGTCAATGAGAGGAAAAGCTTTGCTTGTTGGTCAAAAATAACGAAAAGTAAATATCAAGTATATTCCGATCCCATTATCTTTTTTCCTCTTTAATTTATCTTTTTCTCTCCAACCAAACAGTCGACATCGCACATTAATTCATGTGAAACCTAGAATTTTCAGAGGGCCACTGAAAATAGAAAACTGGGTAATCTTCAAAACCTATAAATAGTCTATAAAGTTAAGAAAAAAAAAAAACAAAAGAATTAACCCAAAAAAAAAAAAAATCAACTCCAAAACTCTTACCTAAAACTTCAAAAACTCAAATACCAGATCTTAAGACATAGTCCCATCAATTAATTAACGAACAAACCACACTTACAAAGAGAGAAAAGAACTAATACAGACACCTTTAAACAAAAATTTAAACCTGGGGTATACCTTCAAAACTCTTGAATAATTTCAAGAATACCAGACACCCAAGAAAACGAAGGGAAAGAGAAGGAAAAAAAGAAAAAAAAAAGGAAAAAAAAAACACAAAGTTCTATATGCTTGCTTTAATTTCAAAATTGATATTATCAAAAACTTCAAAAAATGAATTGACATGATTAATTAATATATATGTATAGTAATAATACCTTTGAGTTACAAGGTAGAAGGCTTCTAAGCTTATCGAGGTGAGAGTTGATTCTTTCTCTCCTTCTCTTCTCAGCCTCCTTGTGATTCTTCAAGGCAGCGAGAGCTCTATCATGAGGTGTACTACTATCACTGTTTCCAGAAATCTTGGAAGAATTAGGGTAATAAGATGAGGAACTGCAGAAGCTTTGCATAGCAGAGAACTGATGATGTTGATGATGATCACATGAGGTCGTTCCCACCGGAAAACCGTAGGGTCCGACCACGTTGATTAGGCCGTTATCGGCGAGGAAGCGGTAGAGGTCGGGGTTTTCCGGTTGCATGGTGGTGATTAATTGAGTGGTTATGATTTTGAGTGGATGTTGTTTCTGTGTTTTTGTGTTTCTCTGACCGAGAAAAATGAAAGTGTTGCGAGCTTTCGGTGGTACTTTGTCCCTGGGGTTATTTTATATATATATATATATTTTTTTTTTTTTTCTGAAAGAAAAAGTGGACCCAAAAAAAAAAAAGAAAAAGAAAAGGTAAAACCATGTAAACCCAACTTTTTTAAATGGCTAGAGGGTCCAAAATGCCCTTATGTTAAGATAACTTCAACACTTATATTACGGGGCTCGTTTGGTTCGCTGATTCAAGTTTTTAATTTGAGTTGAGATGTGAGTTTATATAAGAATTTTTTATTGTAATAAAAAAGTTAGATGTGATTATTTCTGAGAGATTTTTACTGTAGCAAAACTCAAATTCTAAACTTAAATCGGTGAAATAAATGGGGTCTTTCCTTTTCCCATTTAAAGATAAACAAAGCCAAAATTAATTAAAGAGGGGAAAAAAAGGACAGAAATCTTCTCTTTTCATTTCTATATGTAGCACGCTACTTTATTCTATGTGATCTATTAACCCATGAAAAATTTTCACTTTGCTTTTTAATCATCATGCCGGCCTCACCATCGTTATTATATATCATATGCCAAAAGTGGTATAGTTGTTTTCTGCTGGAATCTTGGTAGAAGAATTATTTCTTTAGTGGCGGACTTAGAAATTTTTGGAAAATTTTCACTATCTCTAGCGATGACAAGTCATCGTTAAAGACTAATTTTTACCATTTTATTCACTTTTGTTTTTTAAATTTGAAAAAAAAAATTCAAAAATCCCAAAATCCCCCAGACCACATTTGGACAAAATTTGGGACTCCATCATTGGAGACTGTCGCCGCCAGTCGCCCCTGACATTGCCCAAAATCAATCACTCCGTTCTAGTGGTGATTAATTGTGAGTTTTTTGTGTTTGTAATTTTGTATTAATTTGTAATTAATGTTGTTGTTGTTGTGGCTGTGGTTATTGTTGTTGTTGTTGTTCATGTATTTAGGTTAGGTTAATTATGAATTTAATATTAAATTGATATAACTTGTTATGTTAATAGGGATTTTTATGTTAGTTTTGATTTTGGTATTGAAATTGATATTAGTAGTGATTTTAGTAGTTATTTTGGATTTGAATTGATGTTAGGTGGATATTTTTGTTAAGGTTTTGGTTTTGGCTTATGTTAAAAAAAATAGAAACTATATGTTAAAAGAAAAAAAATCTTATGAGATTAGTAAATAATTGATAAAAAAAATAAGAAAAAATAATTGAAAATAAATTTTATGTTTACATTAAAATTGAATAAAAATAAATTGTGAAATAATAAGTCAATAATCTCATGTCAAATAAAAGAGTGAAAGAGTATTGTCATAAGATTTAATTAAGTGAAGGTAATTAAAAATGTTTCCAAAAATCATAAAAGATGTGATAAGGTCTAATTAAAAATATTTAAGTAAAAAAATGGACTACCATGAGAGGCACGAATGGACTAGCGTTGCGGCTAAGGCCGAATTTGTAAGTTAAAAAGAGCATGTCTCATGTTTTATATAAGTTTTGTCCACAACACTTAATTGATATATATTATCTTTTTTTCAATATTTTTCTTGCTTGAGATGGACCGTCGATACAATTTGGCGATGCGGGTTGGTATGGAGATGGACAATGGTTCATCCTATGCGGCTTCAACTCAGGAGGAGATAGTGGCAGAGGTCCTCGGACAACGACGAGGACATAGGAAGGGAGTTGGTCCAATGCTGTCTCAGAAGAACATATTTCACATTCTTAAGCAGCAACAGCCCCAACGAAATTATAAGGAGTTTTCTCAGTGGTTTCAGCAGGTCTACATGCACCTCAACCAAGCCAACATCCATGTCCCTCCCGCCACGTACATTTCTGTTGGAAATAGTGTCTTAAAAGTATGAGATGTAATAAAATATTTATTATTTAATTAATAAAAGAGTTTATTCATCATTTTATGTGCATATATTTATGAATATTTTATGAATATGAAATGAAAATTCCGTGATTATTTATGTAACCTTAAACGTAGTATATAAGTGTTATATATAAGAGGATGGTGTTTAAGGATAATAATCAAAAACATTGTTCATAATGAATTTAATTAAAGTTCAGAATCTTTAATTAAAACATTATTAATACATGTCATTCTCATTTAGAATGGAACGGTGCTATCCGCACTGTTAATATGGTGAGATATTGAATGAGTGTATTTCGCATAATGAGATTGTGTGGAACAGAGACACAGACACAATATGAATTTCTAATAATTTCTGTTAAGCAAAGAAATTCTAATTGAGTCTACCGATGGTCATATATAGAATGATCTTAATCCTGAGTTCTTAACAAACTCCTATTTATGGATTTGTGTCTTTTGATTTACTCGGTACGAATTCTGAGACTCTGAATCCTATTCCTTGTATTTTAGAGACATGATGAAAGAGGTAGCCGGGAATGTTATTATACAAGATGGAATCCATTCATTCTTGAGAAACAAGTAGATAAATAATTCTCTTGAGTGTTGATTCGGTACTTAAATTAGTTAGAGCACTCTGGTTCATGAATGTGTTTTATGAATCACTATCCATTAGAGAATCAATGGTACTCAAGGATGAAGATATAATTAGAGAGGTTAACGGATTCTACCTGACTCTAATTATGAATTATTTATGGAGGATTGATGATGCAAGAGCTATCAACATGCCTTGTCTTTATTGTCGTTTGCTTTTGTTATATGTCACTTTGTCGTTTTACACTTGTTTCTGTTGTCGTTTAACCCTCTTGGGCTGCCGTTTGCCTCTTTGGCTTTATTAGGCAAAACTTGTTCTCGAGGAAAAAAAAAAAGAAGAATTAATCCAATCAAAAACTTTACTCTGAGTTTGTTCTCTCTCTGGTTTTCCTGTGCTTGCGGTTGCTTGCAGGTTGCTAAATCTAGGAGGATTCGGACTTCCCATCCTTTCTCCGTCCGATTCGGTCGGTAAAGCCCCGTTCCAGTACACTCCCTACACCAATTGGTATCAGAGCCCTCGGTTCTTTCCCGGGGAGGTACGATGGCCAGGAACGACGGAGGGAGCTCCAAGAGCCCAATTGTCGAGGGCGGAGAAGCTGAGGCGTTGTGGAACGCCATAGGAGACCTGGAGCAACGCATTGAAATGAAGTTTGACAAATTCCTGCATGAGATGCGTGAAGCTCTGCCCAAATCGAGGCCCGCCAACATCGAGGAACCAGGCGAATTGCGTCGCCAGCGGCGGGACCGGGAGTTGTCTGGAACTCCACCTCGCCAACATCATCGCCATCACCGTCCCCGTTTTCCTTCACGATCTGATGATTCGAAATCGGAGAGCGAACCACCGCGTCGAAGGAGGCACTACGGTACCGGATCTGAGACTGAAGATGAGGATGATCCCGAACCCAGGTATCTCCATAGATCTTCATCCAACTCTAAAGGATTTAAGTTGAGGATTGATATTCCCGAATTTGACGGGTACCTGGATATTGAGACGTTCTTGGACTGGATTAGAACTGTGGACAATTTTATTGATTATATGGAAATACCTAAGAAAGACCAAGTGAAACTGGTTGCCTATCGGTTGAACGCCGGAGCTTCGGCCTGGTGGGAACAGGTGAAGATGCAGAGGCGAGAGGAGGGGCGTGGTCCAGTCAGGTCTTGGAGGCAAATGAAGGAACTCATGAGGTCACAGTTCCTTCCTAGTGACTATGAGCAAATCCTTTATTTACGTCTGCAGAGCTGCACCCAAGGCAGTAGGTCAGCTGGAGAATATACTGAGGAGTTCTTGAGGCTTAGTGCCCGGAACAATTTGCACGAGAGCAGCCTCCAGCAGGTGGCCCGATTCATCCGAGGCCTTCGCGAACCTATCCAAGAGAAAATCGAGCTGAAAACCATCAAAACCCTTCCCCAAGCCATAAACCTAGCCTATAAGGCCGAACTAAGCGTTATTAAGTCCACCAAGCCTTCTTTCTACCGTCAGAACCCACCAGATTACACACAACACAAACCAAACACCAACACCAATAGTCCCCACAGTTCACCGAAGCCTACCCTAAACAGAGCCCCCTTCAAACCCAATCCTGCCATAACCAATTCAAGCAACAACCCCAATCCAAACTCGACCCCTAACCCGTATGCCAAGCCTTATGAACTCAAATGTTATCGCTGTAACCAACCCGGCCACAAATTAAATGAATGCCTTATCCGTAAGCCTCAAACTAACCTAGCTGAAGGAGAGGTTGAATCGAGCAGCGAGGAGTTCACAGAGACCTATGGATCCTTTCATGGGATCGAGGTGGTCGAAGGTGATGTGGGTGAGGAAGTCATATGTGTTATGCAGCGTTTATTACTGTCCCCGAAACGTCTTAAACCCACGCAGCGGCATGCTATTTTTAAGACCAAGTGCACCATCAACTCGAAGGTGTGCGACGTCATTATTGATAGCGGAAGTAGTGAGAATGTGGTGTCAAGAGGGTTAATCAAGGCCCTCGGCTTACCGACCACCAAGTACCTTCACCCTTACAGGATTGGCTGGATGAAGAAAGGCGTGGACGTCCGAGTCGACGAAGTGTGCCGAGTCCCCTTCTCTATCGGGAAGTTTTATAGGGATGAGGTGGAGTGTGATGTTATCGACATGGATGCTTTCCATGTCCTTTTAGGACGACCTTAGGAGTTCGACATGAAAACTATCCACAATGGCCGGGACAACACTTACCAATTCGAGTGGAAAGGGCGGAAAATTGTCCTTCTTCCTTCCAAGGAGCAACCGTCTAGCTCTAGCGGCCCGGTCCCTAAAAAGAAAGCGTTGTGTAACCAAAGTGGTGCAGCCTTCCAAAAGGAGATGCTTGGAGTTGTCCTCGCCTTGGTGGTGAAAGAAACAAATCACGTGGCAACCACTGTACCACCACTATTAGAGGACTTGCTGCAAAAATTTGGTGACTTATCCCCGGAGGAACTACCAAGCATGCTACCCCCTATACGTGATATTCAACATCACATTGATCTAGTGCCAGGTGCCTCTCTCCCAAACCTC